TGGGTCTTGTGTCCAAAGCCCAGTCTTCTATGTCGCCGTCCAGTGCAAAATGCAATGTCTCGTGGAGAGCGTGAGATAGAGCGCCGTAGGAGGATGGCTTGAGCGGTCGACTTGCGTCGTGCGTGTGGAGTACAAGCGTAGTTGGATAGGCCGAGGAGCTGGAGGAGGATGGGTTGTGAGTTGTCATGCTGGCAGAGTCGCAAAGTGTGGTTCGTATCTAGTGAGAGCGGCCAACAGAGTGCGCAGAAGACGAAAGATCGAGTGAAGGTGAGAATGTGTTGGCGCGCAGAGGTGTGAAGCTTGCGCCCCAGCTGCAAAATCGGTGGCTGGCCGCAAAGATCTCAATTAAGGCAGCAGAGTGGCTTGTTAGGCACAGCTTGACGCTGTTTTGCCGGACAGTTCGAACGTCCTAGCAGACAAATCGTCCCGCGCGCGACGTTGCGAATGACTCGAGAATGATTGTGATTGGTGCTGATTCACAGCTGGAGACGCACGAGAGGAAGGGAGATCTTAGCTCTGGCGATCTCGGCCTGATTCGCGATCCAACCTCTCTTAAATTCAGCCTGCTGCTCGATCAGCAAATTTCTCTCGTCGGTCTCGCAAGCCTCCGAATCGTGCAGGGGAAAAGCCACAAGAATTCAAGGGAGCGGCCGCGCGATCGTTCGATGATACAGGCAGTAGTACACTTGGTGGGACCGCGGCCGTAAGCTCTCTGAAAGCACTGCAACTTTTGGAAATGAATGCGCTGCATAGACTTTAACGCCGTGCCCATGCCTTGTGTGCAGTCACGTGAGTGTGAGTGGGAAGAATCAATGTCCACGTGACTCTATCGGGGGCTGGCGCGTGTGGAGGGCGATCGATGCGCGCGGATGCGGATGCGGATGCGCTCAGCTTGAACACGTCGATGCGCTACGCTCCTGAAACCGGATGGATGGCTTACTTCTAGGCTGGCTGTCGTGGGGAAGGCACACGGGAGGCTGTGAAAGGCCAAATTGCAGCGAGGCGGGCACCTAGCATAGCATGGAGCGTCGACAATCAGAATCACCAATTGATCACGCGTGACTTTAGGGTGCATCATTCAATTTCCTCCATCAGCTTACCTATCAGGGCCGCAGCAAGCCTGAAGACTGCCAAAGGACCCAGCTGCCTCATCTTGCCCACCTCAACCCCCTTCCCCCGCTGCCCACTTTGGTCACAGCCGTGCCCACCAACAAAGGGATGACCGGTCAATCCGTTCCTGACTATTACACCCTGCTGGGTGTCAAGCCAAGCTCTTCCAAAGAAGAGATCAAGTCATCCTACAAACGACGTTCCCTCTCCACTCATCCGGATCGTTTTCCACACGCCAGCGCTTCCGAGCGTTCTGCCTACACTGCTCGATTTCAGTCTCTAGCTGATGCCTACTACGTTCTTTCAGACGATGCTAGACGAGCGGAGTACGATACGCTGAGAAAGGAGTACGGGACGAGCAACGATGGAGGAGTTGGCATGGATTCCCAGGACGTACCGGGCGGCATGCACTGGAGCGACGATCCGTTTGAGGGTCAGCAGAGCAGTAAAAACTTCTTTGAGAGCTTTAAAGGTTTTGCTGGATTTGGAGCAGGCGCTGGCGCTGCGAACGATCAAGCGGGACCATCTAGCGCTGGTAGCTCGACGACAAACGCAGGGCAGGGTCAACCTGAAGGTGAGTTCAGCGCAGCGAGGTACTGCGCTAGACGCACACTAACATTCCCACTTGACATCCTCTTTCCTCATCTCTTTAATGTCCTCCTCACCATCACACCTCGGTCGACGCAGCGGACCAAGTATTCGGATCAGTGTTCGAGGAACTGCTCAGACCCGAGGTGGAGAGGGTAGCGCCCATTTGGAAATGGGTAGGATCAGCCTCGGGCGCAGGGCTGGGTTTCATCGTCGGAAACATTCCGGGTCTGGTGGCAGGTGCTTTCGTGGGCAACAGATTGGGCGCTGTGAGTATGCATTGTGATCTGACTCCAGGCAACAGATTGGAGGCATGTATGCGCTCGGAAGATGTAGCTTTTTGTGTTTGGCGCGAGAATAGTCGGATCAGCTACTGATCCGCACATCTTTTGCTCTCCCGCGCCTCTTGAATCATCTTGCCCGATCACGAATCCCACCACAGATTAGAGACGCAAAAGGCAGGTCGGTGGGACAAGTATTCATGACGCTGAATACTAGTCAGAGGGCAGAAGTGCTCAAGGCGCTGGCGGTCAGGGTGCTCGGGTCCATTTAGTTCGATCAAGGACAAGCTCTTTTACACCCTCACGGTTCTCCTACCGAGTTATCAACAAGTTCGCATTCCCGTCAGCCTCGACGATTCCCTGAGAAGAAGCCCAGGCCATGCTCTCCCGACGTCTTCAATGCCGCTATTGGAGTCAGACTTTACGTTGCCTTCCTTTACCTGTCACATGTCGTCTAATCCTGTTGAGCCAGGATCACGGCTCGCTCACCGTCCGCTTGTACATGCAGCCGTGCTGCTGCTGTCCGTCTCTCGCGCTTTTCCATACCCCAATCAATCACCCTCTCATATTCGAAGATGCGTATGGCATGGATGCGCTGGGTGGAGGCTCGGGTCAAATGCATGGGTGAGACGAAAGAGATCGGCGCTTGACCTTTCAATATCTACCTTTTCGGGTCTTTGGTAGCACGGGTAAGAATGAGGATGGGCAGATCACGTGACCTGTTTTGAAGTGTGAGTGGAGGGACGGAAGAACGGCGAACCTGCAGATCAGGCGGGTGTGCAAACAACAGATACATGCCGCCGCATACATCTATCTACCTGCGACTTTGGTGAAGTAGTCGCAGGGCTTGAGTTACGAGTGTAGGTCGAGGGAGCGAGGTCTTTGCCAGCTCGCGACTTGAAACTTACCCCACCACTCACTCGCACACCGTCTTGACCTTTGAGCGCCTGATCCGACTGCTTCAACCAGAGGCACTCGCTCCTGAGTGAGGATCAGAGGAAACATGATGCATCGAACCGCGCCATGGGCTTTACGTCCCAGAGCAGGGCTTCCCACGGGCATGGGACAAGCTCAAGCACACCCATCTTCGCTAAGTCGTTCAATCGCAAGATTTCAACAAGGTTCGCAACTCCAATTCAGCATTCGCACACCTCACCTCGACTCTTCTCGATGCTTTTCCAATTCGACTTCCAGCCTAGATGACCGGACAAAAGATGCAACCCCCTCTTCAGCTTCCTCCACCTCTATTCCCACACTTCAAAATCTCATCCATTCTTCTATACGAAGCTCTGGACCCATGTCCATCGCAACGTACATGAGGACCGCTCTACTAGATCCCACATTGGGCTACTACGCCTCCGCCTCCGCCTCCGCTCATGCTCAACAGACACGACAGGGCGAGTCTGAAAGAGATCGGACGCGGGACATTCTGGGCGCGAAAGGCGATTTCATTACAAGTCCTGAAATTTGTCAGATCTTTGGAGAGGTAAGTGAAAGACATGAAGCTGCAGGAAGAAGAGGAGGAGGAGGAGGAGGAGGAGGAGGA